GCAGGGACTGTCCCTAATGTTTTGACAGACTTTGGGGCACTTATTCCTCATGCTAGGTTGCTTTGCCCCGCCTTAATACAAGCAAAGGTGCTTAGTTCTACCTCAACTTGATAGGCCATGTTTTGTTGATGTCCATGGGAGGCTTGCCCCCTTCTGAACAGAAACAGAGAAGGAGTGGGGGGGTACAGAGGGAAGGTGGGGGAATAGTAGGAGAGCAGTGGGTTAAACTGTGATCTGGCTGGGAAGTTGTGTGTGTGTGTGTGTGTGTGTGTGTGTGTGTGTATTATATATACATATATATGTATGTATTATATATAAATGGTAACAGACCTCCTGGGGTGGGATAGTGTGTCTGACTCAGTTCAGTAGTTAACCAAGGTCAGGAAAATTAAGGAGATCCATTCAATAGGTACTCAAAGGATTTTCCACAAAAGTACCAGCTTCTTTGACTTCCTTCAGTCTTCCGGGGGGTGGAGGGGAGCTTTATTTAGCGTATATCCCTAGGAAGTTTTGCGTACAGAATGACTCAGAACTATCCCACCTTCCAAGCATCTGCAGCAGCAGGGGCAATGAGCTGCTGTAAGCTTCAATGAGTGATAAACCCATCTTTCTTCAAATGACATATCTTCAATCATCGCTCCTAAATTTTCAGTAGTTCTCTCAGTCAATTTGATAATGTGTAGAAAATGAACCGATCTGTCCAGGCTTTCAAAGCCAATGACACTAGAGAGTCGCGGTGACTCCAGCCTAGGGTATTTAATCTCATGCATACTGTCAATGCAATGCATGACATTGTATTGTGATAGATTTCTCACCCCTCATTGTATCCTCTGGCTTTGAATTATCTGTTTAATATTCTTGTTAGAGGCCAGGTTTATATTTCTTATTAGTTATATTTTTTAGTATACTTTATAATTTAAAATCATCTCCCTTTTCTTCTCTACTTCCCATCGGATCCCTCTGGCAAAGCCGCTCTGATACGCCTTAACAGCAGAAAGACGCCAGCACATTTCATAAACCAGAGACTTTTCTCTCTGTGCTTAGCCTTAGAATGTAGTATGCCATCTTTCACTGGGTTGCAGGCAGTTTAAAACCTCTGCTTGTTTTCCACTTAATGTTTTATAAGAGGACGTTTAGAAGACAAATTCCTTATTCCACAAAGGCTAAAGTATTCATTGGATTTTTCTAATACATTAACCTAGACATCCCATTCCTTCATTCCCATCTGGCAACCCTGCTGCCTGTACACCAGTTTTCCCCGCCCTTCCAACTTGCTCATCTCTAAGAAGAGCGCCACCTATAGACAGGAAGCTGCACCTATAACCCGACAGAGCTGATGAAATGCCATCTCCGCACACCAGTCTCCTTCTACTGAGAGAGGAGCTGGGAAGATACCCACAGAGAAGCCAGTCCTGCCCGGCTTGCTAATGTCAGTACTACAAGCAGAGTGCTCTTCTGTGGAGTGGAATGGGAACAGGGCGCCATGTGGAATCTCGCATCTCACTGGACAGCTCAGACTTTCCCTGTGCTAAATAATTTCCTGCAAACCCATGGTTCACAAGATACTGTGCTCATACACTCCTATGCTCTCCGTCCTCCCTCAAGACATGGGTGCTCAAGGTCCTTGTGCCACCAGACATGTTGAGGCTCTGGATTGGGCACTGATGATGCAGTGGTTATAAAAGACGGATTTTGACTCCATCCTCCTTGGTATCATATTCTAAGGGGACTCAACAGGCAAGTAGATAACACAACAGGATCCACGTGATTGTACTATTTTGTGTGTGTGTGTGTGTGTGTGTGTGTGTGTGTGTGTGAGAGAGAGAGAGAGAGAGAGAGAGAGAGAGAGAGGAAGAGAGAGAGAGAGAGAGAGAGAGAGAGAGAGAGAGAGAAAATGGAGGGAGGACATCACTGGAAAATACGTGACTTATGATTTAGATTTTGGCAAGTGTTAGGACTAATTTGCAATTTTAAGTACTTATCACCTGAAGATACCATAATTTTCTGTTCCTGACTTCAGTAATTATCAAAGGGGTAATTTCCTGTGCTTATAAAGGAAATGTACAGTTCTGTGTTTAAAAAAAAAAAAAAACGGGAGGGGGTAACCAACAAAGCCAATCAAAGTAGGTGCTTACCATGCAGATGTGGAAAGAAAAAGAAAAAGAAAAAGGAAAAACCCAAAGTACTTAACGATCCAGGCTTTGTTCAAGACCCTACTGTTAGACTGAAACCAGATACAGAGAGCAAAACTCCAAGTCCGATGCCCTCGGGAAGCTGTGCTGATGGGCTTGCCACCCTACTGTGTGCGAGGTGATGCTAGCAATGTGGGATCATATCTTTCACATGCTAGTTATATGTGCTCGAGAGAAGAGCCCGTGTGTACTACCCAGAATGCCATGCAAAATTTCATTCAGCAAACTCCATTTCTCTCTGGCAACACAAGTGAGATTCTCATTTTTTTATATATATATTTTCCCCAGATTCACTCCTTAAACAAGCAGTGTTTACTGCTGTTATTGTCTCTCATCTACCTGAATAATAGTAGTGGCCCTTGCTTTTAATCAAGCAAAGACAGCCTTTCCTGGCACTGGGAGGAGCCATGGTGACAGGTGCTGCTCCCAACTCCAATCTCTAGCAAAATGCCTGGAGTTTTCTGAAACTTTAAGTTGCACAATTTTAAAAAATCACTTTAAAAATCACTTCCAACAGCCACTTTAGAACATCTTGTCTCGTTCCACTCCCCCACCGCTCGATGCCTGGGCTCATAGCTCTCTCCTGCCATTTCATGCGCGGCTTCTAACGGAGCTCTCAGCACCCACTTCTCTCCGCGCAATCAGCTCAAGTTGCCTCGGTAGAACCCGCTCTCTCCTGTTCCACCGCTGGAGAACAATTCCCACACGACTGAAGGTCACCTTCGCCTGTCATTTATTCGCTGAACTGGAGGAAAGGGAAGTCAAAGCGTCACACACTTCGGCCTTGCTGAAAAGGGGGACACACACGAATAGAGCTGGCGTCTCCTGGACAGCACCACGGTTATGTCTCTGTGTACACTGAGATGCAGTCGAGGGTGGTGCTTCCCCACAGTGGAGACTGAGGCGATTAGCCTCCCAGTATAGAACTGCGTAATCTAATTGTGAGGTTTCGCTAGCATGTGTTAATAATATTACATACACATGTTCAGAGGACTTCAGTCTGGTGTCTGAAAAATAATGAAACCATCGCTTCAATTGGTTTAAAATACAGATATTGATTGTCAATTGTCCTGAGGGCTAAACTGACCGAAAACAGCTTCCACACTGCTAGCCATTGCTACTACAAATCGCGTATGTATTGTATGTCAGCATTTGGCATTCATATAAAAGACAAAATTGTGATCGTGTATATACATATACTGTGGTACCCGGTACATTTCAAGTAATCAAAAAAAATTAATGTTTTAGTTTGGTAACATGTTATATTTAATTCAGGACCTTATGACTTAAGACAATAAGATTCCTGCTCAATGGTAGAGACAATAGGTGCAGTGTTGCCATGGAGATAAGCGGACGCTGTGGAGGGAGGAAAGCTAGCGATCTGCAAGTGATTCTAACTGAGCTATGAGCACCTTCATCACCGGACCTAGGTGCCTGCTCTCCTCCCCGCTTTCCTATGGACCCTGTCTCCTATCAATAGGGACGGGGGCGGGAGGTGGGGGGGACGAGCAGAAGGAGAAGGGCTTCAATTCTATCGCCATCTTTGCATGCCCCCCCCTTTCCGTCTTTCATGTACTTTCACGTGCCCTGCGACCACATGAAGAACTTTCTAGGGTTTTCCCAAGGACAAGCTTTCCTTTGTTCTACATTTTTATGGTTTTTGTGCTCTCACCTCTGCCCTCCCCCACCACCCCCGCTCCGTAAAGTGGCCAGAGCTCGGTACAAACAAAGCTTCTGTTTTTTCCAAGACAAACTTAGCTCTGCCTGAGTGCTGCCTCTGGGCGTTCAGGTCTCCCCGTGTTCCTTCCTGACATGCGCAGTTACACCCTCTCATCATCATCACGGTGTTGCAGCACTGAGCTCAGTACAGGAGCTGTCAATATAGTTTAGCCAAGCCACCAAAACCTGGCCTGGAGAATCAGTCAATGGCCACTGTGACATTGATAACTCAGGGAGCCCCATGGGTAGGGTGGGAAATCTTGTTAGAGAATGCATATAAAAGGAAAAAGGCAACTAGCTACCTCCTGAATTTTTAATCCTCGCTGCACCTGACTGTTTCAAGGCTCCATCCTCAAGTGACGCCAGAACCATTAAATGAAAGCGTGCTTGAGGAGGGAGTATCCATGGCACGCTGGCGTCTACCATGGCTGATGAGCCCCTCACTGCAGCCGGAAGGTGCAGTATTTGGGAAGCGACCTTAGCTAGGCCATCACAAGGAAACTCAGACTCTCCGAACCTCCTTCACAGGCCTGAGCAGAAGAGAGGTGTTACTCAGTATCGCTTCTAAAGCGTTCTACCTGAGTTTAGTCGCATGTTATATAAGATGCCCGTGAAAATACTTTCTATACTTTTGACTGTATTCTTCTCCTTCTTCTATGGAAAACTCAATGAAAACCTCTTCAATTCCCTGTGCCATGGGGAAGATCTGGAAAATTGGATGTTGCGTTATCCCAAAAGTATGTCTTCCCATTGGTAGGACAATGGTTACCTTATATATATGAAAAATATATAATACATTATATATAATATATATGTGCAAAAAGAGAATTGTGAAAAACTTATAAAAGACAAATTGTCTTCATGTTAAGGAATGTTATAAAACCCAAGAGCCAGTGAAGCAAGAGGTGAAAGCCATTTGACAATGAAGCTCAGCTGGATGGAGAATGTGATACTAAGTCTTGACTGTCGACTTAACAAAACCCTGAAACAACTGAGAGGCAAGGCTTGGGGCTCTCTGTGAGGCTGTTTCCGGGAAGGATTAACTGAGGGGCTGCAACCCTTACTCAGAGTGGGCAAGGATTGGCACCTTCCAACAGATGTCTCCCACAGAAAGAGGCATGAGGGTACACAGCTTGGCTGGTCTGCCTTATGTCCTGCTGCTGAGGATGTCTATTCTCATTGCAGCTTCTGCTGACTCCAGAACCCAGGTTCTTCAGCCTTTGATGGCGGACTGATTGTGGAGAGGCCCATGGCTCTCTCCAGGATTCTCCACATTTTTGGGGACAGATCTGGACTGCTGGGGCATCCAGCCTCACAGGCTGAGCAGATGCTATCGTCTCAGCTTCTCTTAGCATAGAGACAGACTTCGATGGTCTATCTACTAGGACCCTATTTTCCACACTGATCTATAGATCCCCTTTAGTGATGTCTAACCATCATGTTGATACTGTTCCTCTTGAGAACCCTTCCTAATATAAACACTTCTTTAATTTTTAATGTGTAGAGATCATTACGCATTCACCAGGGCAGCTGGATCATGTACATTTTCTATGTCCCAATGTTGCATTGATACTAAATTGATTGCATTTGACATAATGTTGGGCTTAGATAGAAGATAGAAAACACATGTTGCAGTCTGTGGGGACGAAATGCCATGGCCTTTGTTCTTGTTTGCTTTCTCTTGCCATGATAAACACCATGACTTGGGAGAGGAAAGGACTTTAGTCCATCATGGAGGTTAGCCACAACAGGAACCTGAGGCAGGAGCTTGAAGCAGAAACCACAAAGAAACACTGATTAGTGGCTTGCTCCCAAGTTCAAGTTCAGCTAGCTTCCTTATACAACCCTGGCACACATTCCCAAGAATGGTACTGTGGTCCTCTATCCATTAGCAATCAAAACTAATCCCTTGTGACATGTTCGCAGGCCAGTCTGCTTCAGGAAATCCCCCAACTTAGATTCTCGGATAACTCGGGGCTCTGTCAAGTTAACAGCTGAAGCCAACTGGGAGGGTAGTTGAACATGTTTGTGTATGGTGAAGCAAGAACCACAAGGGATTAACACAGACATCAGGGAAGGACATAAGATTCATTGTACCATTTTTGCAGTGAGGGAGCAAGTTAAAATCCAAGATATAAATTCATAGAAAGAGTAATGTGCAGTAATTGTTGCCCTTGCGTGTGTATATTAATATGTGTGTGAAGATGTGTTCGTGTATATGTTGAGGCTAGAAGTCAATATATTCCTCAATGACCCTCCACTGTATTTTTTGAGACAAGGTCTTTTAAGGACCGTGGAGTTCACTGTCCAGCTAGACTGAGAGCGAGCCCCAGAGGTCTGCTTACCTCCACTTCTGTGGGTCTGGAATACAGGTGTGTACCACCATGTTCAACTTTCATTTACGTCAGTCATAACTATCATCTAGTGTTGAAAGTTAAACCAGGAACGTTTGAGGTTGGTATATTATCTTTTGCATGTTATTGTATTTGTATTACTAGTTCTCGTGTTAGCAGAACATTTAAAGATGCCTTTGCTATTGAAAGATACTTTTGTTAAGAAAGACCCTGTTTTTCAAAACAAAGGAGATATTGCTTGCTGCTTGGGTGTTTTGTTTTGTTTTTTCTAAGTCCTAGCTTGACGGATAACGCCCACATCTCCCTCAGTGCCTGGTCATCGAGGGAAACCTTGGGCATCTCTGCTGAAGACATACACAAAGTATCAAGAAAAGCAAGCTGTGCCTTAGCTTTATTGTGAAGACTGTTCTGACTTCACCCCCTCCCCACCAATGGCCACAGAGAGTCATACATGGTTTAAAGCTATGAGAACTTGGGCTGTTATTTAATTTAGAATAAAATAAATTAAATCTTTAGGTTTATTTCCATGGATAGCTGGTCCTTGTGCCAACTACCCATTTAAAACATTATGGGACAATTCAGCTTTATTGTGTTTTCTTTGTGCTTATAGGAATTTAAGCAATGAAGTTAAGAAAGATGCCATAAAATGTGCTCCTTGCAGTTTAGATGCTATTGATTGTTATACTGCAATCGCTACCGACTTGCTTGCCTCGGAGGGCAATGCTTAGAAAACTTCAAGGTGAGTATTTTGAGAATTAGCATTGGAAAACTGTCCACTGGTAGGAGGAATTGATTTTATTAAAAGATACAATAATGACACAAAGCAAGAGAAGCTGTATTGTAAGGGCAGGATAGTCATTATTAATAGGAAATACAAACCACACCTAAGGATGCTCTTCCCTTTCTCCAGTCTTTATGTGAAAATGAAGTTGAATTTTTTTTGGCGTCATTATGTATTTCTAGAAAGACATAACATAAATTTACAAATGTATAGTTGTGGGCTTGGTGATGGCAGAAGTGTTTAAAAGCAAACAACATGATTGAGAACATATAAAATACTGATAAAACATACTTCAACTTTTATTTTCTTTCCTTTAAGTTCCATGGCATATTAAAAGTGAGGAAAGGTGGTTCTACAGTATGGCACAGTCTAACATCCGGGCAGCCCCTGCCTGTTCCTCCTCAGTGGCAGGTTTGTGGAGGATCCTTCTTCAGTGCCAAAGACAGAGCAGAGTTTCTAGTCAGTCTGGACCTCGGGGGATGAGCTATGAGCAGCAAGTGGCACAAAGCACCCTCCAAGCAGTATTATACCAATTGGTTGGCATCTTCACTTTGAAGTGAAGGCTCCATTGTCAGAGGTTTCTGTCAGAACACAGCTTTCTTACGATGTCCCTGGTGTTAGCTGTGTCCTGTGAATTAAAGCATTGACTCCTGGGAAATAAAGGATTCTCCTAAGACTCGTGAAACTGGGACCACTCAGAAAGAACTTAATATCATAGTATAAACCACAGTACAAATGAAACCCATTGTTTCAGACTCTCAAATACCTCTTAATGATTTTGGTCTTTGCATGGTTGGTCAAGCAAATATTTTTAGAGGGATCTTCTGACCCAGCCACTGTAGGCAGGAAGGGCTAAGGGAGAAAGGTGAAGCCATGGGAACAAAGTATTCAGGGAAGTGGATTCAAGGGGTTCCAGCCTATGGTTGGATGTGGAGCAGTTGACTTTGTGCCAGCAGGTGCTCACAGTTCACCCGCTGTATATCCATCACCCAGGTGGAGCTGCCAGATCAAAACCATGAGCTCAAAGTCCCTGCAAACAGTCCTTCCTTCTTTCTCAAGGGACATGGTTATCTTGAAAAAACATACTCCAGGACTGGACAAATACCTCTGCCCAGTCTACAGTTTTCCTGGGAATTCCAAGTCTGAATTGTTTTAGCTACACACTGAGGAGAAAGGGCTTCCTGCTGAGGACTCTCAGCATAGAGTTAGGTAAGAGATCACTCAACGGCCCAGTGCTGAGCACTGTGGATCTCCCAGCTCAGCCCTGGCACTGTGCTTGGCTCAGGGACACTGGTAGGCGCTGTTCCGGTGATGGATGTTGGCCTTCAGGTCCAACAGATCTGGAGAGAAGGGAGGATGCAGATGTTGAGGAGGGGAACAAAAAAAATGGCCTAAAAGGAAGTCTGCCAGGAATAGACACAGGTCTGAAGTGAAAACCCTTTGGTGGGTACATGTCTTTCTCTTATAGGCATATCTGTTTCTGACCAGCTTCTTTAGTTTTATCCAATGAGTAATGGCTGGTTCAAAGAGTTCTAGAGTCTAAATGGCAGAGATGTAACTATGACACCTGACACCTCCCCACCCCCACTGGCCATCCAGGAGGAGCCATGTGGCCTCATCCCGTCACTAGAATTTCATCCTAAGGATGACCATGTTTGTTTGTTTGTTTTTAACACACCAGATCTTTGCCACAAAGTCTCGAGCACACCCTTTTGCTGTGTCAGAATTAATTTTCTCCTTCCTCCCCAGCCTTTACAGAATGCTACATCAGAGCATGGCCAGAGGTGAACTTTCAGGACCCTGCCATGCTCATTTCCTCATGCCCCGAGGAAGAAGATTTAGAATATTGTCACCTTACTTAATGTCTTTTAAAATGAAAGTTTCTTGTTGTAAACTTACATTTGTCATGTGATTTCAAATCAGCGAGCCAAATAGTGACGGCAGCTGCCATGGTCGTTAATAAAAGTGAAAGAAACCATGGTCACGAGACGACACGGGTAATTATTCTTCACAATCACCAAAACCAGACAAAGAGATCCATCACTGCTCTAAACATATTCGGAAATGTCTTCAGAAGGGAAGTCATTTTTAACCATCTTAGCTGAGGAATAGCTATGTAACTGTGACATGAACATAGGACAAGATAATAATAAATTTCTGAAAGAAGATGCTACATAGGCTTAGGCACAGTTGTGGGAGGGTGATCCTTCATCACGGTTTAACATTTAAACACATGCAGTTCTGACTTACTTGCTTTACACCCCTTCAGAGTTGTGGTCAGGAACCAGAATGCCACCCTGTAGTATTTGACATTAACCACGCATCTCTGGGAGGCTTAGCCGGTCCAGACGACTGACGATAAATACTAAATATTCTATCCCCTACAAGCAGTTAGGAAAAGTGTTCACAGAGCTAGAAAATAAGAAAGCCAAACCAAGAGTTCTGCTCAGTGTAGCCGACCAGCAGCTCTGTGGAGACCAAGAGGGCAGCGTCGAGGTGCGGGCGCTCGCTCAGAAGTCTGAAGTATGCTTCAGTAACCTGCTGAACTCCGGTAGGAAGAAGGGGAACTTTTGCGGTAAAATCACTTAATTGACTCCAGTGGGAACGGATTGAGAAAGGTGATGTGGAAGAGCAAGCCTAGAGGGGCTGAAAGAAAGGTCTTTGAAGAAAGCTGGTTCGGCGCGATGCTCTGTACAACACCCACGAATCTGGCAACTGCCTGGCTTAAAGTCTTCCCAGGTCTAAAATGGGTTAGGTTTTGCTCACTGTGGACCACACATGAAGCAGGCAGACTGAGTTCAAAGTCAGAGAAAGTCTCTGAAAACACACTGAAAGATGTTCAGAGATAGAGGAACTTGCTAAGCCTGAGCCAGCTATGTAGCTAAAGTTCTGGGGACTGACCTGGTTCCCACTGCAACCGGGAATATGCAGCCTGGCTGTGCTTCTGCCCACTATGCTTGTTGGGTCTTGCTCAATGACTGGCTGCCCCTCCCACACTGCTCTCAATAGTGCACAGCTGAGAGCAGACCAGTGTCTGCTGGCCCGGCAGGGCATAGTGCTGTGGTGGAAAGGGTTTTTGGTTTGAATGTGAAATGTCTTCTATTAGCTCATGTGTTTGAATATTTGGTCCTCAACCGGTTGCGCTGTTTGGGAAAGTTAGGGAACCTTTAAGAGGCAGAGACTTGTTGGAGGAAGAATGTGACTGGGGGAGGATTTTAGGGGTTTATAGACTGGCCCCACTTCCTGTTCTCTCTGCTGGCTGGTTGCAGAGGCAATGTGGTCAATGAACCTGCTGCTTCTGCAGACATGTCCCTGCCTGTCACAGTGTTGTCCCTGTCATGATGGACTCAATCCCTCGGAAACTGTAAGCCTAATAAATCCTTTCCCCCTTAAGCTGTTTTTGCCGTTATCACAGCAACAGAAAAGAAACTAACATAAGAGGTCTCACAGGCATGCCACCTCCTTACAAAGCACAACCACGGTGAGATTCAAGCATCAATGGAAAGCCAGACTTGCACAAACTAACTTGAAAAATCAGATTTAGTGACAAAGCAAACCAAAGAGGCAGTCGCTCCTGAGGCAAGCAAGCCAGCCAGCACTGGATACTGAGGAGCTGTGAGATGGCCTGTGGGGGCTGAAAACTGGGGCTGCCCTGTGTACACTTGGTGCCTGTGTCTTAGCACCCTGTGTTGGCTATTTTTATGTCAGCTTGACACACAAACCAGAGTTGTCTGAAAGGAGGGAACCCCAATTGAGAAAATGTCTCCATAAGGTACATCTATAAGGCATTTTCTTAATTAGTGATTGATGCAGGGTGGCCAGTACATGGTGGGAGGTGCTGTCCCTGGGCTGGTGGTCCTGGGTTCTATAATAAAGCAGGCTAAGCAATCTATGAAGAGAAAGCCAGTAAGCAGCACCTCTCCGTGGCTCCTGTGTCAGTTCCTGCTCCCAGGTTCCTGCTCTTTTTGAGTTTCTGCCTTGACTTTCTTTGATGATGGACAGCAATGTGGAAGTATAAGCCAAATAATCCCTCTCCTCCCCAACTTGCTCTTTGGTCCTTGTGCTTTGGTTACAGCAGAAGAATCCCTAACTAAGACACAACAGTTGTGGCAAGTGCATCAACCAGGTGAGCAGAGAGAACCATAGAGCAGGGAATGGGAAAGGAAGCATTGAGATGCTGAGGCGCTCCAGGGGTCAAGTGTGTCAGGAGGAAATCTGGAGGAAGGAACAGATTCCTCTACATATACTGGATTTTGGGGATCCAGTTTGTTTGGACACTCACATTCCTGGACCTGGAGGGGGGGGAAGGAACTGGAACTTCCCACAGGGCAGGAAACCCTGACTGCCCTGGGGGACGAAGAGGGAGGAGGAGGGGGAGTGGGGAGAGTGGGAGGGTGTTGGGAGGAGGGGCGGAAATGGAAACTTTTATAATTTAATAAAATTTACTTAAAAAAAAAAAGAACTCCAGCATCAGGATTAGAAGGATGGATAGCGTGTAGGTTGGTGACGAAGCGATCCTGGAGACATCTCAAAGACAGTTTAGTGAGTCAATAACCACAGATAACAGCCATCCTATACGAGTGCCCTGAACATAAGTCATATGAGATAGATACTTCTGGGTGTGGGTAAAGAAGTAATCCAGGGGAACGAGCAAAGGTAACTTGTGTGGTGGCAGAACCAAAGTTGGTGTGATCTCCCTGAAAAAGGCCACTCATTCACAGACAGAAGCAGTGAGCATATCCCTGTCCTTTCACAAGCTAGGATGGTCTACATGCAGAAAACCTTCAAGGAAGCAGATGCATTTTAGGTCAAAAGGTAACTATGTTTTATTTTTATTTTTTTTAACTTTAAGTTTTATTTGGTCTGCTAGGGAAATCTGAAAGATTTTTCTCCTGTCTAATGTTTGTTTTTCTTTTTTTGTGTGTTTTTTTTGTTGTTTTTTTTCAACTGTCTGAAATTTATTAAATTATAAAAGTTTCCATTTCCGCCCCTCCTCCCAACACTCTCCCATTCCCCCCTCCCCCCTCCCTCTCCATCCCTAAGAGCAGTCAGGGTTTCCTACCCTGTGGGAAGTTCAAGTTCCTCCCCCCTCCCTCCAGGTCCAGGAAGGTGAGTATCCAAACAGACTGGATCCCAAAAATCCAGTATATGCAGAAGAAACAAGTCCCATGTGGCCGGATTCTCTGAATGTGACTGGCCCGGAGTCTTTCTGGTAACTATGTTTTATAATAAAAAGTATAATGTAAACCACACAGTTAATTTCATCTAGAGGTGCTATGTTGAAGGAAGGCTGCTTGTTGTTTCCCGGCTGCTCAGCCCCAAAATAATCACACAGAAACCATATTATTTAAATCACTGCTTGGCCCATTAGCTCTAGCTTCTTATTTACTAACTCTTATATCTTAATTTAACCCATCTCCATTAATCTGTGTATCACCACGAGGTCGGGGCCTACCAGCAAAGTTTCCGTACATCTGTCTCCAGTGGTAGCTTCATGGCTTCTTCTGACTCCGCCTTCTTTCTCCCAGCATTCAGTTTAGCTTTTCCTGCCTACTTAAGTTCTGCCCTATCAACAGGCCAAGGCAATTAAATACAATTACGAGCAAATATGCTGGGAGCCAAATTCGTAATTGTATTTAATCGTAAATACATGTTATAACCTATATCTGATTCCAGTACACTTTCAAGTGAGCCTGAACAACCAGTTTGTGAATTTGCTTTACGACTATAAATTTCCCCAAATCTAAATCAGATAAAATATTTGTGGAGGAAAAAGTAGCATCAGAGAGAGAGAGAGTCCCCATAAGTGTGAGTCTACCTGACATTTCCAATACTTGGACCTGAATAGAGAGTGCAAAACGTGCATCAATAATTTATGCTGATTTCATGTGGAAATCAAAATGTCTCAGACACATTGAGTAAAGTATAATACACGGTTAAGATTTACCCCTCCTGGTCCTCTTGAATTTTTCAGTATGGCTAGAAGGGAGCTGAACGCCACGGACACACATTAAGATTGCCCTTGTTAGTGCTGGGAGTAGAACGTTAAAACTGGACTGTCTTCCGGACGTGCTTTTTAAAATCACTTGACAAATTCACAATCCAGATTTGAAGCTATGATCCTTTCTTTTGGGTGCAACACACACAAAACTATAACGGCAAGACAGAGCCTCTGCTAGTGAGTGGTCAAAAGCACAGAGATCACATCTCCTCATTTTCCGTGGGCAAACACTGATGTGGCATGAGCCTGCACTCAGCCGACAGATGCAGACAGGGGTGCCTGCTCTGTGCTCGACTTCGCGTTACGTCCTTTCCTGGCACGGTAACCCGGCACATCGCAAGCTGAGACAGATTCCTCACATCTTCAGCTGTCACACGTGAGTGAGGAAGGCAGGACGCTAGGCCCTGCTCTCTCCTTTTTATCTCGGAGCCTCAGCCAAAGTCTGTCCAAAGTGGCTGTTCAAAAATGATTTGTTGAATAAAACTAGTTTTGAGCTCCCTGTCTGTACTGTACATTTATAACGCCATTTCCAGTCCTATAACCAAATGCCCAGTAACTCTGAGCCGCGGGAATTGATCAGGGCAGCTTAGAGCACTGCCTTGGGGGGCTACAGAAGAAGGCCACTTTCTTGCCTCACCATTTTATGAGGTTTAATTGCATTTCATACCTGTTATGTAGTGCGTTCTCTTCTCTTCATCGAGCTAAACTTTGTTGGCATTACTGAATAACAGATGCACTGTACTATTTCAGGAACAAATGTTTATGAAATGCTTACAAGGGTGCGTGAGGGTTCCCAGACACATCTCCTTCCCACTGTTTCTTCTAAGCTAAAGATGCCATACCTGCACAGAGGGGGTTCAGAGGGCGGTTCCTCCAGCCAGCTTTGCAGTTGATGAGCCATCAGGACAGGAACTTGGG